CCGTGACGCAACGTTTCTAGAACTGTCATGTACTTTGGCGAATGTTCAAGTTCTTACTAGAAATAGGGTACGCTGGTATATAGAAGAGGGGAATGTAATGTGTGGATAGTCAGTGAGTAATTGAACTGCAGTCAGAAGTATTATTGATTTCCGAATATAACTTTACCGATACACTCAACTTCAACAATCGCGCTAAACAAACGAACGTTCGACCAATCAGAACAGACTTCCACATTCAAAGTACCATACACGGCGACAAGGTACGCTGGTGTATAATCCCATGTAGATGGACAAAATATTTTAATACATCATTAGTAATCTTCGACCAATCAGAACAGAATTCCACATTCAAAGTGGCATACAAGGCGACAAGGTACGCTAATGTATAATCCCATGTAGATGGACAAAATATTTTAATACATCATTAGTAATCTTCGACCAATTAGAACAGACTTCCACATTCAAAGTACCATACACAGCGACAAGGTACGTTAGTGTATAATCCTATGTAGATGGACAAAATATTTTAATACATCATTAGTAGTATTCGACCAATCAGAACAGACTTCCACATTCAAAGTACCATACACGGCGACAAGGTACGCTGGTGTATAATCCCATGTAGATGGACAAAATATTTTAATACATCATTAGTAATCTTTGACCAATCATAACAGACTTCCACATTCAAAGTGCCATACAAGGCGACAAGGTACGCTAATGTATAATCCCATGTAGATGGACAAAATATTTTAATACATCATTAGTAATTTTTGACCAATCATAACAGACTTCCACATTCAAAGTGCCATACAAGGCGACAAGGTACGCTAGTATATAATTCCATCATTAGTAATCTCGTGCAAAAGGGCAGGGGCATTTATGTATTAACATATAATTCGTTCAAAAGGAGAATGTTCACCAATTGCTATGAATTGTACAGCTTCTCTCCATAAATTTACAGCACAATCCCTTAACAAAGCTCGTTATATTTAAAACCAGACTTTTCATAGGTTTGCTTTAAGTTACTCCATAAGCTTTATGTTAATTTTTATTGGTGACTCTTTTATATTCTTCCACAGATTTAACGTTGGTTTTATTTCACTTTCATCCCTAGACTTTACATTGATGGGCCTTTCTGCAGTCCTTCAGAAGGTGTACTCCACCACAGGGTCAGTATATGTGTGGCTGGTGGTATAGGTGTCACACCATTTGCCTCGTTCCTCAATTATATAAGGTAGTGTGTAATATTTAGGTTTCTCTTACAGGATTTCTTTGAATAACATAGACTTTTAAATTAAACCCACTATATTTAGTAGTAATCGACTCATTTTTCGGAAAACGCAGCTTAACGATAAAACAAAACACGAACATCATAACAGGAAGCATTTATTAGACGCTTCGGAATCGTCATAATCTATCATCAGTAATCTAGGGTTACAAAACAAACAAACAATATTTGTAATTACAACAGAAATATGTACATAAGAAATAAACAAATCGAATATACAAATATGACACGAGAAAATGAAAACTGAGGTACAAGTGAAATAGTTAAAATAGGTTTAAATCGAGTGCAGACTGTGTGTTATTTAGGGGTGTGAGAAGAGTTTTTATGTATAATGTTTCTTTTATAAGAAGTTCTGTATTATGTTTGGCTGTTGAAAGAATTTTAATGTTTGAGAGAGATATCGGGTGTCCTGTTTCTGTATTGTATTGAGAGATAACGGAGTTGGGAAGGTTTGTAACCTTTCTTCCAGTTTTTATTGATATGCCCATGTTTTCACATACTCGTACTTTAATGTGACGTTTGGTTTCACCAATATAGGAGGCTTTACAGTCTCCGCACGTGTATAAGTAGACGAGATGTGAACAATGTTTATATCTTATGTATATATTTCTGTTATAATTACAAATATTGATTGTTTGTTTTGCAACCCTAGATTACTGATGATGGAATTATGACGATTCCGACATGTCTAATAAATGCTTCCTGTTATTAAGTTTGTGTTTTGTTTTATCACTATGTTTAGGTAGTTAGTGTGGTAAAACATCACAACAGCATTTGGCAACATTCAAGTTTCCAGTCAGAATGATGTATTAATAGAAGTCCACATCCTTTTCTAATCTAGAACACTGGTGCTAAAGCTAGAATATTGTATTACTGAATAGTAGTTCAAAATACCCTCTTTCTATTCTTGGCCACTGACACTAGCTAGAATAATTCAGAGGGTTAAGTACATAGTACTAAAACGATTTTGAATATGAAAATTAGCAAGTCACAGCAGAAATAAAGTCGTGGTGGAATGGCGTCTTTCAAAACAATATTTTAACATTTGGCGTTTTGTAGGTAGTTTGATCCCACCAAGAAGTGATCGAATTTGAGAATGGTATGTAACAACTCTTTCTGACTCAAAATATTCATACACTTAAATCATAAAGATGAGTTCAGATCCAAGTTTAGAATTTCCAAGACGGAGATATCCCTTATACTTAATGGAAAACAAAGAAATATGGATGAATTTGAGCACCATGGACCATCCTAAAAGGGCCTTCGTACCCAAGCCACATTAAGCAAAGTGCGGCTTACGGTAAGAGATAAGAATCCACAAAGGTCAGTAGCAAAAGCTGTCCAAGTGTTCCAGGCAACACTATGCAACATAATCAAGAAGGATCTCCATCAGGTGCACACTATGCATTATTAGTAGTTCAGACGCCCTTTTATAAAACTAGCTCACTACCGCAATAGCTAGAATAATACATTAAAATACTTTTTTTTAATTCTAGGCCGCTGCTGATACCACGACTATAAGGCTTAAGTCTTAATGTCTCATAAACGACAGTTTCAACAGTAGTTAAACTAAGACTTCCTTCCAATTATACTATCTGTCGATGGGTTAGTGATAAGTTTACTTACTTTCACCGCTCAAATCCAGTGTTCGATTCCACATGGTGAACGGAGCATGGATAGTTCATTGTGTAGTTTTGTGCTAACAACAACGACATCAATTATACTCTAAATTAGCGCTGTTATACACTAATTTTACATTTTTATCGATTGAATAAAGAGATTAATTTTGAATCTATTTACCATTAACAAAAAATTATCTTGTAAATATTGTTACGTCTCCGTGTGTTAATTAATTTTCCGTAACTTCGTTCCGACGAAACTTAAGCGACACACAAGTCTTTACTTAATAAAACTGGTTTATTTTACTACTAATGATGTATTAAAATATTTTGTCCATCTACATAGGATTATACATTAGCGTACCTTGTCGCCTTGTATGGCCCTTTGAATGTGGAAGTCTGTTATGATTGGTCAAAGACTACTAATGATGTATTAAAATATTTTGTCCATCTACATGGGATTATACGTTAGCGTACCTTGTCGCCTTGTATGGTACTTTGAATGTGGAAGTCTGTTCTAATTGGTCGAAGATTACTAATGATGTATTAAAATATTTTGTCCATCTACATGGGATTATACATTAGCGTACCTTGTCGCCTTGTATGCCACTTTGAATGTGGAATTCTGTTCTGATTGGTCGAATACTACTAATGATGTATTAAAATATTTTGTCCTTCTACATGGGATTATACACTAATGTACCTTGTCGCT